AAATAATGTACCCAAAAAAAGACAATTACAGCTTTGCGGTACTATTTATTTCCCGCTTGTATTAAGTTTGGGAGAAAAATAGAGAGAAAGAAACAGGTAGTGGTAGACAATTGCGGGAGTGAATTGGAGACTAGAGAAATTTATTCGCAAATATAGGTTGCTTCGCCAAAGAACTTCCCTTCCTCCTCGATGACCCGATCACCGATTTTGACTTTCAGGGTCATTTGCTTGGAGTACTGTTTGTAGTTGTCAGAGTCTCAGACACCACGAACAGGAGCATATGTATGGTTGGGAGGTTGAGACCAACCTGGTAGATATAAGGTTTTGTTCCAGCGGCACTGGAAGCAATCTTCTTGATGAACGCCGGAACTTCTGCCATGACATCCACGCGATCGATCCTGTCACCCAGAGGCCCCTCGATGACGGCCTCAACATCCTTTCCATGCTTGCTCGATTTCCAGACAAACTTCGCATCAGTTGGTTCTGGCCACCCAGCCTCCTCATCCAGCTGGGTTTTCAGATGCTCAACGGTACCACAAGTACTAGCAGCGATAATCTCCCCATCAGTCACAATGCCGGAAACATTCACCTTCGAACTTCCGTATGAAGGTGGGGTAGTGAACTCCATCATGACGGCGCACATAGTCGGCCCCTGGAAATTGACAAAATTCCACTTGGCAGCTAAAAAACATGGCTCAACATTAGTCCCATAAAGCACTGCTAGATACTGCCCGAAGAACATACCAGCATGATGGGGTTTCATAGCCTGCAACGCCATGACCAACATAGCGCTCCCGGAGAAATCGATCTTCACCGGCTCCCCATTCTCTGCAACAACCATGAATCCCGTCAACTTATTCCTAGGCCAAAATATGTGCCTAATGGCGCCCCAAGGCTCCACGGGGTCAGTGCCGTACAGGGACTTTCCATCCCTACCGATCTTGAAGCCGGGGCCTGAGCGTGTGCAAGTAAGGTCGATGCTAAGCTCTGAATCGACCATAGACTTGATGGAATATGAATTTCCATCCTCAGACATGGTTATTGCCATGTCGTCAGCGTAGAAAGAGTAATTTCCCTCATCAAATCCGTAGTTCGTGACGGGCTTCGAAGACCAAACAATTCTGCCGTCAGGGTGGAAAATCTTAGTGCTCAGCTGCACGGTGAAATGAAGGTTTCTAATTTACAAAAAAGAGCGAATGGTCAGTTAGTGGCTTACGAGAAGAAAAGGGAGGGGAGGTTCTAGTAGCTTACGCAACATTCGAGTAGATGACTTGTACAAGTCCGTGATGGCCCGAGTCTGCGGCGAGATAAAAAGTCTGAGTCTCAACTGAGGTTGTCTCCAAGACGTTCCATTTCATATCCTCTTTGGCGATTTCATTAGAGGGATTCAAGCTCTCTTGCTTCACTACGGAATGGAACGCCTCGGGGCCGTATATGGGTTCGGCGGTACCGGCAACGGTAGCCAAACTGAACAATAAGTTAAATCTTACTTCGCATCGGACTCAAAAAGGTAAAAGAGAAAACATACGTGCTCTGAGCAGCAGATTTAACCCAGGAGAGCATATCTGATATTTGCTATTTGTGAAGTAATGAATAGTTAAGCAAGTGTGCGGCGGGAGGAAGATGTAAAGAAAAGGCTGCGGGAACGATGGAAGGAGCAGTGACTATAGCTTCGGTAGGGGAGAAGTCGGTTTTGTTGTTCCTGCAGCTTGGCAGCGGGGCGGGTTAATCCTTTCTTTCTCCGAATTTTTTTTCTCCGAGTGTGGGTTGTGAGACGCTCCCGTCGGATATTCTTACATAAGTTAGATATAACACCAGTACGACTCGCAGGATACGGGGGAGATGTTTTGGCAAGAGACAGGGATTATTTTACTGGTAAACTGTCCCATCTTGCACGGAGAAATCTCCCTATGGTATCATAGGTACAGTACGAGTATCATACTTGAAGTGTATGATACTCGAGTATATTATCATACCTATTCTAGAGCATAGAGTAAGAACACAAACCTGTTTTCGGTCGTTAACTCGTTAACTGTGCGAGCACTGTATGATCCGGGTGCTCTGTGATACTCATCGTATTAAATCCTCACTCAAGCTTCAGCTGATAGCTGCTACTCGAGTATCATATCCCAGAGACACACTCTTCTGCCCCCCCAGGAGTAAACAAACTCCGGGGAGCCGGATACGGGATTGCTATGTCTTTAGTGGATCATCCACCCCATTTGTGCACCTCCCGCAGCGGATATTTGAGGCTCTACATCGATAATAAATGATGGTAAGCATAAAAACTCCATTAATGTCTTAACCATGCATTTCTCATGATATCTATCGCTACTTCATGAACGCCCCCTTACGAGTAAGTTGTGGAAACATACTTCTCGCACTACTGCAGTGTTACTCCTACTACTGTACAGTACTGATACTTTCTCCTTGCATTAAACCTGATGGCGCATCTAGACCCCTGGACTATTGAAGATACCTCCTTGCCTTTCTCACACACCTCTTTTCTCTATTATTATTGTTCGCTCAAGCTATTTGTCTTGCTCCAAAGACAGTATATAGTCAGGGTCTTCAGCTCTTCCCTTTGAAAGTGTTAAGCATTCAAGTTTCTCAAGCAATCGATCACTTCTTCATATCTCGTATCATCGTTCTATCCAAAATTCTCACAACATAAGTTACACAACAAGCATTCTATCATACACGAAGCCATAGCTCAAGAGGATATAAACAGTTCACGCGAGGATACCCAAATCGAACGCCTATGCTTGGAAAACATAAAAAACCACAAAAAAAAAGTCAATCCAATTCAATCCATCCTAATATGCACCGGAGAAGGGAAACCGAAGGAAAAAAGCAAGACTCTCTCGGAATGAAATAGAGAAACGTCACCAGCCGTGTTATCTGTAAGAAAAAAAAGAAGGAAGGAAAGAAAAAAAAAAAAGATAATCAATTATCTCCCAACTGCGCCCTCAACGAATTGTTCTCTCTTCTAAGTTTCCTTTGATTCTCCGTCAGCGTTATTCAATAGTGGGGTACAAAGCCCAGAGAATACGACACTTACATGTTGTCCCTCTTCAGCTTTGCTTGCTCAGCCCTCACTTCTTGCAAAATCTTCAATAGCTCAATATCTCTCCCAGCCTTGACACCGCTAGATATTTTGACCAGCTCTTCATTGAACTTCTCAAACATTACGTCATTCTCGTTCAAGCAGTCATTGAAGTTCTTGTCTAAGACCTCTAATTCTCTATCCTTCTCAGCTAACGCCGCATCAGAGGTTTTCTTGAGTGCCTCGTACTTGGCATTGAGCTCATTAATCTGGGGAAGGCGAGCTTCCACCTGTTCAAGGCGACTCGTGAGTTCCTTGGCTCCACGAGAAGAAACCCTGGTCGCGAGACTTAGCTCTTCACCGATTTTATCAATTTCGCGCTGAAGGCTCTGGTCAACCATTGTAATCGCCTGCTTCTCGTTTTGAAGGCGCTCTCTCAGTTTCTGGGTGCTTTGCATCTTTAACCTTTGAGGGCCGGGGGAGCCAGACATGCCAAGCGATTTCCTAACGGGTATCTCGCTTCTGTCTTTACTCATTTTTCGGCTCAGAGTCCCTCCCCCGATTGGTTTCGGTAGTTGGGAAGGACTTGGGCTTTCTGCCCTGTGGTTCACGATGTCTTTGAGCCCGCTAATGCCGGGCTTTGTCGGGGTTGTCATCTTCTCAAGATCAGGGCTTACTCGGGCCGGCAAAATCTGCTGGTAGTCACGATGGGTCGTCAAATCGCTCAGGGAGCTTCTTCGCTTCTTTCGGACCTGGGGTTCGGACGGCAGAGGCTTGCCATTGGAAAGATGGGTAGGCCCGGAGGTGGCAGAAAGTGGACGCATTGGCGGTGATGGTGAAGGTGGAAGGGGCGTAAAAGTGGAAAATGCTGTTGGGCGGTCTTGAGGTGTCGGCCTCTTTGGAAAGTGGTATGTTCTGGTGTCATAGTCTGTCGATTTCGACCTCGAGATATGGCCCTTCTGCAGTTCTTCTCTGCGGGAATTTTTACTCAAAGTTCTCCAGACAGAGGCACCCTTTGGTGGATCACCATGCTGTTCTCCCCTAATCGGATCACGGGTGGAGGAGGTATGAGTTAAGCCAAACCGCTTCCTTAGGGATGCGGTGGAGTAGTTCGAGCCGGCGTGAATAGATTTGTTTCTCCTAAGAACTGCATTCCCGCTGGGGAGACTGAATTCCCCGTTGTTAATTACTAGCGGCTCTACCGCCCTGTTAGTCACAAGTCCAAAGTCGTGGGTGGAGATAACAGTTACCACTGAAGAGATTATCTGCCTCCTCGACTAGTCTGTCTATAAGAGGCATGAACTCCAATGGGTCTTCATCCTCGACCAAGAGCTCGGTGAAAGCTTTAGTCAAGAGACCTTTGCCGTCGGGGTTTTCAACCTTATTCTGCATGTTCCTTAACAGCAGGACCAGCGTCTTGAAAGCTCGTTTATTCTGGGGAGCCCAATCAAGGACAAAGATTTTGAAAAAATCCTCGAAATCGCCAGGATAGAGTGTATCGCTCTTCGAGCGGAGCTCAGCGAGTCCTTTGCCGTCAATAACACTCCCCATCCCATCTTTCCATTCCCTCCTCAGGAACTTCCTAAAAGCGTCAAAGACAATATCGATACCCATCCGCTTATCATTTCTCGCTGCCCCCGGGCCAGCGAGCATCACTCGTAGGAATTCCTCTACAGCTGCATCATCTATACCCTGCATGTTCCTGAGAGGCATCAAATCCGAGTGGTCGGCGGATGAGAGTTTCTTCAATGCTTTCACAAAGGCCTCGAAGGTCTCCTCCAACCTTTTCAATGGGCTCTCGCTAGGCATGGTTATGCTCTGCAAGCTAATCTCCAGGTCCCCTTCATCTGGCTCACCGTTCCAGTCTCCCATTATTCCGAGCACTGTCGAACGCTTTTGCAGCATTGCTGAACTACGGTCCAGCATCTTGGGCGGCAGCATTTGGTTTTGAGTTCTATCCATTAATTGCCTAGATTTGCTGGGGCTTCCAGGGGTACTCGGGCTATTGCTGTTGCTACTTCCAAATACGGAGGAAAGAAGCTTAACAGGACTGGGAGGTCTGAGCCTACTAAACCTGCTTTCACCATCAAATGGAACACCCAGGGATCGTAGTAGCTTTCTGTTTGCTGACATCAAGGGTGCGGTCAGAGGAGGATGCTGAGGTAGAGAGTGGAGTCTGACGATTGAAGATAGGCGTTTCGTGAACACGGCCAGGAACTCCTCGCGAGAAACGGTATCAGTCGAGGAATACTCGTTCCAGCTGCGGAACTCTACTCTCAGCTTATTGCCCATCATAGCCTCGACGTTAACAGCTATGTCAACACCGCCCTTCCCTATATCCGCTGCCAACTCCCTTCCAGTCTTCCCCGGGCTCTCAGGGCCGCCACCGCCGTCATCAATGTATACAATCACACTCCCCTTTTTACCCTCGGTTGTATATCTATCTTCGCTCCCCCAGACACAAGCCCACAATCCTAGACCCTCCACCCTGGTTTCCCTCAAGCCTACAAGTCCTTTTCTACCACTTAATACGCGCCCCTCGAGCCTAGCCTTCACAATGTCTTCGATTAACTTGGTCGCTCGTCCCTCATAGGCATTGAGAAGCCTGAGTCTTCTGATCCCCATCCCCCCCGCCCTCACATCCCAGCTATCTTTCAAGTCTCGGGCAAGAGTCATCCAAATAACATCCCCCCCATCACTCTCGGCAAACTTCACGTCGGCCAGGTCCATCCAACCGGCAAACTGTAGGTCACAGCCTAGGCCTTCCCGCTTAGTGCCACTACCATAATTGCTTATACCTCCTCCTCCCCCGGGTTTATCTACTTCAGCCATTATCGCTCTTGCCTGCATGGACGTATGTTTCGGTCTCCGTAGAATAATCAGACGGTCCGGGAAGAGTAATATTGTGGAAGGGATAGCTTCGGATGTCTTATCATTGAATGGCGGTAATACATCCAGGAAGTCAAATGCTGTAATTAGTCGTCCGGGGAGTCGGAGTGAGGGTGGCCAAGAAACCACGATGGATTGTAGACGCTTTGTAGTTTTTGAGCGCTCATCCTTATCGGAAGATTGGAGTGAACATATTTCGGTGACTATCTCACGTGCGTCGATAAGCTTCGGTAGGGAGGGATCATCGAAAGCGAGCAAATTGACGATACTGTCAATTAAGAGGGTATATCTCGGTAATCTCTGTACAGGCTCAATTATCATTGACCTTAATTTCTGCTCACCGGCTTGTTGGACTCTCTTGGAGAAAGAAGAGTGCCTATCCTTGGTAAATTTGGCAAGCAGCTGGGGAAATTCGGAGCTGGCTTGGATATATTCCTCGTAGGATTCTTTGAAATCAGGGAACCTCCTCAAGCAGCAATCGGCGACTTCCGGGAGCCCGCCTTTTTCGACTTCCTGTAGAAAAGCCGTGTTAAGCTGGAGTATTCTATCCAACGAAGGTGGAAACAATGCTTCCAAATCCCTCCCGTTAGGGAATCCGCCATCCCCTTTCCTCTGCGAGGCGCGACTTCTGAGTGGTTTGACCAAGTTGTCCGAAAGGTCTTGCAATTTCCCAACATAGCTAGCCTCCGTTATGCGCAGTTGTTCCAGCTCACGTTCGATCCCTTCAGCAGAATCCTTTGGGGGTCTCGGCCTGGCGGATGCCGGCCTACTCTGCGCGCGCTTTAGCTTTGTAAAAGGCAGATGTGTGGGTTCGCCGAACAATGCCAGCAACCTTTCGGTCTCCTCCGGAACGGCATCAGGCTCCACGTTCGCGGGTGAGCGAAGCACAAGGTCAATGTCGAGCCATGTCAAGAAGCGCTCTGCCAAAGCGGAATTAAGGTCGCTAAGCAAACTTTCCAACTCCAATTCCTTCAGGCGCGCGGCCAGGTCCCCAGCATGCATCTCGTCGAAAGCCACGGCTTGGGCTTCCCCATTCGGTAGAACATTGTTCTTTTTGCTCTTGAGGATCGTTTCCCTTACGGCTTTGGGAAGCTCCGAGAAGTACTTTAGTACGGCGATTGCGAGGCCTCTGTAGACCTCTTGGTTCTGCTTTTGGGGCGGAAGATGGTTCACGGCCACGTATAACGGGGACGAAGGGGATAGTGTAAGCTTCGGGTATGATTGCAGGCCAGCGCAAGTAAGAATATGAGCTTCTATGCGAGATACGGAAGTGGAGGAAGATGAAGAATGAGGATTGAAGAATACGAGGACATGTCCGAGGACGGGATCGGAAGTGCAGTAGGGTGTGCAGTGGACGAGGAGCGGCGGCGGTGATGAAAGCGAGGCCATTGGAGTCTGCGGCTTATGATATGGAGATGATGAAATAGTGTGGTATGCAGTAGAGGCAAGGAGTACCAAATTCCCAAGCGTCAGTTCCAGTCCGGGAGGTTTGTTCGGGCGGAGCTGCCTCAGCAGAGGAGAAGGGCAGGGGGCTGGTGACGGCGGCGGGGTTGATTGGATAGGAGGAAAAAGCAAAAGATGGCCGCCTTTCCAATCTACCGGCGCAGGGTTGGGTTGGATTGAGTAGGAATAGAGGAGAGCTCACATGATTCCCAGGGGCATATCGAACGCTTGTTTGGCAAGGAAACGTGGGTGTTGAGCTGGAGTTGAGGCAGGCCTTGATTTGCCAGCTAACCTACCGGTACTCGAGTACAGTACTCGAGTACTCGTATATAAATTTATGGTTCCAGACGCAATCGAATGGCGCCAAAATGCCTGAGTATGCACACCCCAGAAGGGTCTAGCGTGCCAAGGAGGTTACTTAGAAATCACAAGAAATCACGCCAGCCACGATAATTTGTTGAGACATGCCAGCTGCGTGTGAAATCTGACATTCACCACCCACTTGCATGTTTATGAGCGACCCATGGGAGCTGAAGGTTGGGGTGTATAGTATGATAAGTCATCTGCGGAAACTCTACTCCAGTACAAGTAGCGTACAGTACTCGTTGAGGTCGGAAGATAAAAGCCCCGGAATGGTGCGGAAAAAAAAAGTGCACCGTGTTAACTCCAATGCGCCGCATACCGCGGTCGATTCAAAGTCAACACTGCTCCATGACAGGCATGATGGTGCAGATTGGCGATGGGAAATTCTTGGCCTATCATACCATTGTTAGTGCCAAGCCCTTTGGAGTAAAGCATAACTATCCAGGGGAGGGGGGCAGGTCGAGGGCCAGACAGTATGATAGGACAGGAATTGTCTGAGATTTTAAATATAGTTGTATCATATATAGTACAGTACCGGTACAAGTACTGCACTCGAGTACTCGGTCGGGTACAGGTGTTAGAAGTGTTGCTGCCTTAGGTTCGCAGTTGTTTCCCGGCCCGGCAGTGGAGGGACCTTTTTATGCTGAGAGTTGGTATCATAGGTCCAAAACCCATGGGAAAGGAGGTACCTGTTTGATACCGTACTCCTACTATACGAACCTGGTATCATAACTTGATAACAAAAATCACCGGTAAGTTACAGTAGAAGTGCGGGTTCAAGCCCAAAGTAACCTTGTTGACAACATTGTAGCACCACCTCTATTCCATCAATAAAACTTCAATATTCACTGTATATCCAAGAGAATTCCTCGGGTTTCCTCTTCCAGGCTTGTCCCAAATGAATATCTGATGCCTATTGACCAAAGAGAAAAAGCGACATTAAGTCGTGGTGCTTGTTGTATGGGAAACCCTAAACCCCCCAGATCCAATCCACTTGTATGCATCGACCCATAAGCCCTGCCCCGCAGAGCCCCAACGCAGCTAAGAAAAAGAAGAAAAGAAAAACATACAGTATTCTTATCACGCAATCTATACTCGAGTCTATCGGTAGAAGAAGAGCCTCGCTACTCAAGTACAGTATCATATATTTTTGAAGTGGGGCGCGGCGGAGAGTATCAACCTAACACCCGACAAAAGAGTTATCGATCGGGGCACGAGTTGGTATGGGGGTTAATCTCGGTGAACCAAACCCACCAGTATGAGTATTGTGAGGGATAGATATGACGGGCTCTACCGCTGTCCAAAGGGATTTTCAAGGAGCGAATAATAATATTGGGGACGGAATTTGTTTCATCTAGAGCCGGGAATTGCATCGCTAGTGGAAATAACTTTGTGGGACGCGCCACAAAAGGGTTGTTTACTTTATGGGGGTATATTTCTATATTATTACTTGTAGTTGCGGGGGGGGCCGGCCTAACAGGACATCCGCTTATGTTCTCCAGTATCGAGAACTTCCAGCGACAAAGGAAAAGAGGATACCGTAGGGTAGTCTACTCGTACAGTGATTGGATAAGTTGAGCAGGAACAGCCGGGACGGGTTGGATTTTCTTAGATTAGTTTGGGAGCCTTAAGATTTTTTAGCCTCCCGAGAGTGGAATCTATTGTGGCTTGTGGTTTGTGATCAGGGGAGCGAGATTTGACTGTCGTAGTCTATGGGTTTTTTTTTTTTTTTTTGTTAAATCCTAGAATCTATTTGCTTAAAGGTGCAAACCTCGACTATAAGAGCACAGCCCGGCTAAAGCATGGATCCTTGATACAAGGGCACCTCTGCAATAACCGCCCCACACCACCAATTTAGTCCTTAGACATGCTGGTCAAAAACCTCCTCCACAGGCCTAGGGGAAAATAAGCCAGCCCAAGTCCCTCTGGTATGGGACCAACTGCACGTCCGCCCCCATGAAAGCTCCTTCTGCACAAAACAAAAAAAGCACAAAACAGGACCAACAGGAGCCAACAAGAAAACCTACACCGTATTCTCTTGAGAAAGCAAACACAAAAGAAACCCAACAAAAGAAACCACCTTGATAAACCACATTCCCCAATTTTCAACTGATACAGCCTTGGCTAGCAGCTAGGAATATAGGGGAGAACTATGATGCGTTCATTTTGTATGTTGAAGGCAACCGACCTGGATGTGCAGGCCTCTAGTGGAGTGATCGCTCATGGCTGGTCGGCTGGAGGCATGACCAGAGACAGGGCAATACCAACCACGCATTGCTGAGTAACGCAGACATTGGGAAAGAAGTAAACCCAACTGAGTAAAAGAACACAGAGGGGTGGGGATGTTCATAACCTCCACAGCTTAGCTAAGGTGGCCACCATGGAGGGAGGGGGAGGACAGGAACCACAATCTGGTAGAGGGACCAAAGTCCAACAACAGAGGGGGTAAAAATCTCATTTTAGCCCTACAATGAGGTCTGGTGTTCAAGCTTATGAAGCTTCCAAAGTTTAGCACTGGAGAGGGGATCATGAGGTGGTAGTGCGTGATGTTGACAACTGCCACCACCTTCCAAAACAGGAAGGTGAAAGGCGGGGTCAGGAAAATAGCGAAAGAGAAGCTTGGTCGTAGTCTATGGGTTCCCTTATGGTACTTGTACTAGTACAGTACTCGTACAAGTACAGTATGATATTATGCCCGCTCCCGCAGCGTGCTAGGAAGTATGATAGACCTATCAAAAAAACAAAAACACATGCTATTCGTACCCACACCGTATGGTATCATACTCGTATAATATGTGATAACAATTGTGAAACAATTTCAGGGAGATTCGTCTCACTTTGATACTTCAAGTGGACTAGCTTCCTCGAGTGGTGCAGAGTGACGACGGCCTGCCTCCCCCGCGGAGGAAGGTACTGACTGCAAGGGGAACGGGTAATATATATCGGGCACTACGCTATTGAAAACCAGATTCCACGGGCCTATTATTATTAACTTACTGTAAATTCATTTTCTTCGAATTCTCGCCTGAACAATACCTAGCAGTTCAAGTCGAATTCAATTACTGGCGAAAATCTATTCACCCCATGTCCAGTTTTGGCAGACCCCAACCAAACCTGTTCGCGGGGGGTCCTAATGGCGACGCCCGAGTCCCCAAAGTATGATAACATAAACTTTTTATATACTGCCAGCACTACTATTTGTACAAAGATGCCGGTGCACTGGGGAGAAGGAAAAATAGGGAGAATTGGTCATCGAACAGTGCTGACATTGTCCACGGCCCCTTCTTCTCCATTGCTATCCTTTTCAACCTCGACAGCTGTAGTGGACGAGGCCGGTGACACACCAGCTCCATCCCTTCTTCGGTAGTGAAGCACCACGTCTCCATGGGCCTTCCAGACGTAGGAGCGTATGGTTGCTAATGTCATGGCTGGCGGTACAATCTGAACATTGAGTGAGCAGACTGGCATCGGAAACGGCTAGATGACACAAACCTGATCGTGGCAAAGAAGCTCTAACCAGTCCTCTGGCTTCGGAGGGTTCTGGCCTTCTTTGATCTCAGGGGAGAATGAAGTTGTCATAAAAGGGGGCTCCAATCTTTCCGCAACGTAAGCCGCAATCTTTTTCGCCCTTAACATGCGATTTGCGTTTAATCTAGAATTTTTGCCTTCGCTTTATGGAATGTCAGCACTTGATGTGATCGATTTCTACGATACAGGAAACAGAGATGGGTGATGGCAAATGTGACTAACCTTCCAGACTCACTGGGTAGTTGGGGGAGTTTGTCCTGCCATGGTATTAAGACAAAGCTTACTTTCACGGTATCCTTTAGCGGGATACGGTTAAGGAGAATAAGGTCTCCTAGCCAGGCTGGGGCAACTTTCTCGAGCAAGTCTGCATCCTCGCCAACACAAGAGACTGTGCCCCTATACAGATCCGCAACACCTCCGAAATCAAGCCTGTCCTCCTGGATAATGATCGTAGTATTTCCGGGAGGTTTTAAAACTGGCGTTTCGAGAGGCAAGCTGGGAGCAATGCTGCTCCTGAAGGGTTCGCCCACCCTTTCCCGAACTTGAATCTCGTAGGATCCCCGGATCTTCTTTAAGACACCTAGCAGCGTATCCTCTAAGGGGTCGGGCTTATCGGATATCGCAGATTCGTCTCCGGATGGCTTTTCGTCGACTGTTGATACAGTGGGTTTATTTGCCGTGTCAGTAGAGGCGGAGCGGCCCAATTTCCTAGTTCCAAACGATCTCCATCTTCCAAGAAGCGATGAATCCTTCTCTTCCTTTTCTTTGTCGGCTGTGGAGGGGGTTGCGGGAGCATCGTCAACTGCTTCACCTAGTGAGGGGCCGGATGAGATTGGTTTGGTTGGCGTTGCATTACTCGTACTTCCGGTTGAGAAATAGTCACCAGTAGCTAGCTTGTCAATTGACCCTCTCGTAGTAGGAGAAAGAGAAGCTCTCGGTCCACTCTCTTCTTCATTGGTGGTGGGCAGGGGCGCCGCCTCTCCAGCGTGTGCGATATTAGAAGGTGCGAGGGTTAGCGCAGGAGTTGCAAGACCGATTACCATGCCCGGAGTTTGTGGAAATAGTGAAAACCCGTTGTGCGCCTTAGGGGTGGCAACGCTCGCCCCCCCAGGAGATTGGGTGCCAATATCGGATGAGAAGGTAACTGGTGGCATCGAAATCTGTGGGGGTGCATTGGTACGCCGCATTTGCTCACGTTCCTCTCTATCGCTGTCGAGTCTTTTCCTATAATCCTCATCACGAGCGATCTCTTCGTTAATGAGGTTACTAAAGAGATAACGAAGTACCCATTTGCCAAGATTAACTGAAAATTATTAGCAATGCTGCTCCGGGAATGTGGGTACGAGGGCGGCCCTTACTTCTTTGGTCATCCCTGAATTCCACTGCATCTTCAATGTCGGCCTCATCGGCGTACATCTCAGCATCGAAACAGTAATTCTCTTCCAAGACACAGGCTAGTCGGCCTGTTCGAGTATCTATTTGGCACCAGTTCGCCACGCTCTCAACAGTGTTTACCTCGGCCGCAACGTCTTCGAGATGCCTTTTGCCAAAGGATTTGACTGGCATGCATTTTAGTAGATCCCACATCATCACCTCACCCGCCGTGTCTAAGGTTAAGACCCTCCTTCTATCATTTAGTAAAAAGTGCTTTATTAGACCATGTTGCCCCTCAATAGTTTCGTCAGGAAGATCATTAACGGGAACCAGGACCCCGGGATCAGCGTCGAGAATAGTTTCTGATATTGAAGCTTGCCGGGCATTAGGTATTGAATATACGGTGACAGCATCAGGGTCCCTAACATTGGAGGGGAACGCGGATGTTGTTGACAGTCTCAGTAGGGCGTTTACGGGGATAGTTGACTGTTTTGGTCCAGCGGTTGTTGGTGAGCTTGGAGCACCTGGCGGCGGGGGTGAATTTATGACCCTTGGCCTAGTACTGGCCGATGAAGTCAACCTAGGTCGCCTTGGGTCTGGTCCAATATCTGTATTGGTGTCCACGTCTAGCCAGCGATTTATACTAGAACTTTGAGTTGCAGTCCAGAGGTAGTCACCACAAGCAACTACCTTGTTTACGCCCTCTTGGTCTTGACAGACTGCTACACATATACCCTCCTCTATCTCATCCACATTTCGGACATCAGTCTTGGCTACCAATCCTGAGCGATCGCTGGAGTGAAAGATATCCAGGTTGGGATGGGAGGAATAGAGTGACCAAACACTATCGTTGTGCATACTCAAGGTATGGATACATCGTCCGGCGGTCAAACTCCACATCTTGATTGTAGTGTCGGAGGAGGCAGTCAATATAATGTTGCCCTGCTGGCTGACAAGAATTGATCGCACGTTGTCAGTGTGCCCAACAAACTTCGTGATCCTTTGACCTGATCGAGGATCCCAAACACGGACCACGCTCTCGGGGCCACCACTGGCTATGATACCTCCTCCAATTCCCAGCGAATATATCGAGCCCTTAGGGTTAGTGCCCTCATCGCCCACATCAATCTGTAATTTCTCACCACCCCCGTTGAGATCCCAAATCATGATCTTTCGGTCTAGCCCCCCGCTAGCCACCCAATCCGAGTGTTCGTCGGGTGTCGCAAGACATTTGACATAGTCACTGTGGACGCCTATTGTCTCGGGGGGTAATTGATCGGCCGCATGAGGTCGCCAGAGCTTTACTGTCAAGTCTGAGGAAGCAGATACAAGAGCAGCGTTGGAGTGACAGAGTGCAAGGTCGTTAACCCAGTGGGTATGGGCCTGAGCCTGTGTAAAAAAGGTGGAGGGTGGAGGCGCGGGGCGAGGGATAGCCGCTGAGTTTGCAGCGCCATCTGCGAGATCAACGCCGATTTTCCACGAGCAGACAGCCCCATCGCGACCAGCCGAATAACTTTGCTCCAACGAAAAAAATATCAGCTAAGAATGCCCTCAGAAGCTGGCATTCTTGAATTTGACCGAGGGAAAGCTGAACTTACAGAATCCCCTGTTTATCGACAGCGAGGCTATTGACGCCTAAGCGATGCCCACCAGGAGAGTTCGCGAGTGGTAGTACTGTAGCTTTGGTCAGCCGCTTTGCTGCGGGAATAGGCGGGGAACAGACTATAGCTGATCCGTTGGCGAGCTTTGCGCGCCATGGACAAATAGGGGGGGGGTGGTGCAGTGGGGTATAGTCTTGACGTTGGAGAAGCTAAGGGTGAGAGTGCTCGCTGGACGGTGTGTGCGGTAAAGCGGAACAGGCTACAGCACCGGTACCACAAGTGCGAGAAGGGAGGAATGGTGGGTGAGGGAATTGGTGGTGGTACGGGGGAGACGGAGCGAGACAAGCGCTGGAATTCGAATTCATCCAACCCCATCCCATCGGCGCACGGCATCACTTGAGGGCTTCTGTACAGTGCTGTACCGGTAATACTCTCCATTGGTATGATACTCCGATTGTGTAAATTAGCGAAGCGTCCCAACTTGAGATGGGCGAATTCTTAGAAAGTCCACTGCAAGTAAGAGCTTATATTTCCTGAGTACAGCTCTGCGGTGCGTGCGAGCGGAGTGGAGCCAGTTGGAAGAAGTGATCAAGATCTTCATAGAATGAGGAAAACTCCATGGGTAACCTGTACCAACTGCGGGTACAGCATTTTGGGGGAGAGTGAGTAGCAAGCAAGGTTCTACGTCTCTTTTAGAAAATGGTGGTACTGTACTGTACTGTCACGACTAAGTCGGTTATTCATCTGCTCTACTACCATAGCAGATTGATAGGATTTACCGGGTACGGGTACAGTACAGTGTATAAAGCGACTATTATAATTATTATGATAGCATGGGAGAAGTTAGGGAAAAGGCATTCCCCGCTGTGACGGCTGGTGGCGATATGCTAAAGCGCGAGTACTAGTACAGTAGTATGATACCATCACTTACGGCCGGCCGTTTCAATACTAACGGTGACTCCTGTGCTAATCCTGGCATCTCTGGCATAGTGCTGTGAATGACAGCGAAAGCAAACCAATCTCGTGCGGTATAGAAAGGTCTGTATAGCAGTAATGGGGAGAGTGCAATCACGAGGGAAGTATGATATGATAGAGAATACCGAATGATGGGGTATCCGATTTTGTGTGTAAATCGGGGCACGACATGAGCCCCATGTGTACTTGTACCTGAAAATGTAGGGACCCTCCTGATAGGCTTGGCCCAGGACAAGGCGTGGGTTTACGATAGTCTAACGACGAATCATGTCAACCCCTCGACCTTTGTGGTGGGTTGGGGACCCCTGTCCGCGCTCAGAAATTTCGGCATGATATGATACACCACCGTGACGCGAATCTACCCTCAAACCGTCCTTCTGATTGCTCGCAACCTCCACCGAAAAGCTCTTAGATCGAATCTTACCGCAGTCTCCATCTCCATCCCCTGGCTATTGTCCTCCGTGACCTTCTTACCTTCTCTCACTTTACATCGACGGCATCTCCAGATTTTCTCCGGCTCTGTTGTTACGCTTATACCCCTGTTTAATACTTCCTTTCCCAATCCTTCTGTTGGCAAGCTAATACCATATACTCAAGTAGTGTTCTCGGCATAGCATATGCTTCACTAACGATACCTAACTCACAGTTACAGTTAGCGAACTCCTCTGCTACTTTCTCCTGCCATCGTCAATACCGCAACTATGGATGGCTCTCTGGTTGCGTCCTCCGGCAACAATTCAGTCGTATCTCCATCCGCATCGACTACCTCTTTACTTCCGCCCCTGAATCCCACTTTACTTGTTGACTATCTAACAGAAGTCCTCTCTGTTACAGTCGGCGCTACCAGACGAGAGTTGGAAGCTCCCGGGAGTCTTCTCTCAGATAGTCGCTATTCCGAGACTTTGCAGAAATGCTCAAGGTTCGCTGCAGAGCCAATTGTGGCGTTATATGCCTCGAAGGACCTCGTGGAGATTGAAGAATCTCCAAACGATGCCATCTGTGAGTCGGGTTACCCTCGTTTCCCTTGTTTATCATCATCAAGAGCTACTGATAATTTGGTATAGCTGTTTCCGGAACCATCTCACAATCATACACGTACTCCATTGCGTCAGAGTTATCGTCCTTACCATCCACGGTTGCATCTGTTGCCATTATCAAGCGACCTCAGCCTCTGGATTCCTCTATTCCTCTCCATGCCCAAATACAAATTATGAACCTTCCCGGGACGGTAGCGTTGAATAGTAGTGCTCAAGGTTCGGTATCACCGTTCGAGATATTGCATTCTGTTGTGCATTCGGCTTTGGGACCTTACTTCGATGCCTATACCAAAGGCCAAGAAACTCAGTCTAACGGGCGGATCAACCGTTTTGCTGACGGTGATGCCAAGACTGGTATTCCTGTTACGAAGAAAAAGCTTGCCGAGTTAGAGCTCTCTCTTCTACATTTGCAGCAGAATATCGAAATACCGGAGCTGTTATTGAACCTCCACAGTGTAGTGCAGTTGGCTGTGGATGAGGTATGAATGATCCATCATTTAGAGTAGTGGTATTGTAAAGAGACTGACATGAATGTAGGCTTCGCTTAGGAATACGCGACCTTCGTTGGACCTTATACCCGCAAATTTATTGCAAGATAGCACATTCCTCAATGGCCTTCAGTCCATTGTAAATGCTTGGATTAAGTCAATCCAGTCGATAACTAGAATGTCCCGAGACACCGAGAGTGGGACTGCTACCCAAGAGATTAATTTTTGGCTATCAATGGAGAGTGCTTTGGAGGGCATAGAGGAGCAACTTAGGAGCGATGGAGTACAGCTTACCCTGGAAATATTGAAGCATGCGAAGCGATTCCATGCGACTGTCAGCTTTATCGCAGACACTGGGTTGAAGGAGGCTACGGACAAGGGTGGGTTTCTTTTCCATTCAAGCACCTAGGCGATCCAGGTCGGGATACCCACTGACGGCCCAATTCTAATAGTGCAAAAATACAATCAACTTATGCGCGATTTTCCACTCGATGAACTACTGTCTGCAACAAGCCTTGCGAAAGTTCAGGATGCAATTGTCGGAATTTTTGTTCATCTCAACAAGAAATTACGGATATGTCCTTACCCCATTCGGAGGGCACTTCCACTTGTGGAGGCCATTTCTGCAGATCTGGACTCCCAAATCCATACACTACTTAGTGGGCGTCGGTTGATGCATTTGGAATATAACGACTTTGAGTCGTTGATGAATGTTGCCGAAGGGATCTTTAGAACTTGGGACGATAACATTAAAGAGTTTACTAATGTTGCTCGAGAGGTAACGAGGAAGCGATCCGAGAAATTCATCCCGATAAAGATAGCAGCCGGACACCTTAAAACCCAAGAGAGGCTGGCTTATGTCAAAGGCTTCCGACATGGCCATGAGCAGTTGCAACGAACAATCGCAAACGTTCTCGGCCCTAACTCGTACGAGAATGGTACCAACCCGAACTCGAGGGAGGGGGGAGCTGTGTCGGGAGACATTGGTGATGTTGACGCCGTCGAGGAGGTTTCCCAGGCATATGCTGTTCTAAAGGATGTAGACGTTTTGGATGTGTCGCCCGAAGGTACGGAGATTTGGATCACGGCGGAGAATGCATACAATGAACGAACTTCCCGTGTGGAGAATTCCATCATTGCCCGATTGAGGGATAGGCTGGCTACCGCAAAGACTGCGAATGAGATGTTTCGGGTGTTCTCAAAATTCAATGCCCTCTTTGTGCGACCAAAGATTCGGGGTGCTATTCAGGAGTATCAGACGCAACTTATCGACAGCGTTAAACTTGATATTGCAGCTCTCCACGAGCGATTCAAGCAGCAATATGGGCATTCCGAGGCACATGCTATGGCCCAATTGCATGACCTACCTCCAATTTCGGGCGCAATTATTTGGGCCAGGCAGATCGAGAGGCAACTAAACGCTTATATGAAGAGGGTTGAGGACGTTCTGGGGCATGGCTGGGAGCTTTATCACGAAGGGCACAAGCTGCAAGGGGAAAGCGTCACTTTTAGAAAGAAATTGGATACACGCCCGATCTTTGACACCTGGTCAAGAGATGTGCAAAAGCGCAACATATCCATCTCGGGAAGATTGTTCAGTATCACAAGAAATAGGGCTGCCGGTAACTCTTTGGAGCTAGTGGTCAATTTCGATCCTCAGGTCATTGCGCTGTTCAAGGAGGTCCGGAATCTTTTATGGCTTAACTTTCAAGTTCCCCACACAATCATTAATATTTCCAAGGAGGCAAAACGTGTTTATCCTTACGCAGTTAGTTTGATGGAAACTGTTCGAACTTTTGCTCAAATTAATAGAACAATATCCGAGATGTCCGATGTTTCGATCCTGCTTAGTGGTTATCAAAACGACGTGCACAGCTTGATAGGCAAGGGCACCCCCCTGAAATGGGAGTCTTTTGTTCACTCTTATGAAGTGCACTTGAGACAACTGCAGTATCCTCCTAATGGAAACATTGATCATTCAACATCGTTACAAGGAAGGGAGAGCAAACATGTGCAATTCGTCCGAGACTTCGCAGCTGCCGTCTCTATTCTCCAAATCAAGACTGGGACACTGGCTAGCATTCACGAGACATCACAAAAGGCCATGGCGGAACTTTGCTCTTGTCCTTATGATGTTGACGCCTTCCAACACAAGCTCGAAGTCATTCAAACCGCCGTTGATCAACTCAACCTGGAGAATTATGTCAATTTACCACACTGGGTTGGGGAGTTGAATAGTAAGATTGAAATGATTCTACTTAGCCGGCTCGAGGAGGCAGTTGTGCGATGGATTGAGGTGTTTAAGGATGCAAAGGGCGATGAGGGAGCTGATGGCGATAGTCAGCGTAAGCGGATAAGTAGGAGTGAGGAGGTTGATGTCGATGGAACTTCAAAGGGCAGGGATACTTATGACCCTCGCATGAGGAGACTTGTGCATGAGATCGCCCTTACGATAATCCCTCTGACAACAATATACCCGATCGTTG